CGGGAAAAACGGGGGTTCTCCAGGTGCCAAGGGGGAAACAGCAACTGGATTTCACAAAAGGGCACCCCGGGATGGGAGTCAGAGCGGGTGAACCCCGCTGGGATCGTCATCACCCCAATGGGATCATCACCCCAATGGGGTCGTCACCCCAATGGTGTCATCACCCTGTTCGTGCAGCAGCCACAGCGTGGCAGCGGGCCCAGGGCAGTGCCCGTCCCCCTGTGCTGGGCGCTGCTGAGCTCACACCTCAAATCCTGTCTCCCGGTTTGGATTCCACATGAAAACAAGGACATTGAGGGGCAGGAGCGTGTCCAGGGAAGGGAAAGGAGCTGGGGAAGGGTCTGGAGCAGCAGGAGAGGCCGAGGGAGTTGGGGGGGCTCAACCTGGAGAAAAGGAGGCTCAGGGGGGACCTTCTCACTCCCAAAAACTCCCTGACAGGATGGGGGAGCCAGGTGAGGGTCGGGCTCTGCTCCCAGGGAACAAGGGACAGGATGAGAGGAAACGGCCTCAGGCTGTGCCAGGGGAGGGTCAGGTTGGATATTCGGAAAATTTATTTACTAAATAATTTAAACAACAATAATAAATCAATATATATGTACATATGCCAGTAAATTATTATAGATAATTTATATATCGATATAAAATTCTATAATTATAATAATTGCTATTAATCTTATTAATCATTATTATTATTATTACCCTTTTCCCCACAGCCTCCTCCCGGGGCACCAGGGGGTCCCACTCCTGGGATATCATCTCCCTTTCCCTGTGGGCACCTCCAGCTGTCCCATTCCCTGTGTTATCTCTGGGGGATCTGCCTCTGCTGCCAGGACACAGCCAGGAGCAAAGTAAAAATGAAAACCAAACATCCAAAGCTTCTCCACCCCAAAGAAAAGGTATTTGACCCTTTTTGTTTTTAATTCCTAAAGGCTCAGTCACTGCAATTAACTCTTGGGATCCCCCCAACGCAGCAGCAAATCCCTATTTCCTCGGCTCATCCCAAGGAATTTACTTCATTAAAACTTCATTTATTATTTATTAAACTCCTGTGGTTTGTCTTGTCCCTCTTCCCACCCCGTGTGGGTCCCGTAGCTCATGCGAGGCTGTGGGGAAAAGGGTAATAATAATAATGCTTAATAACACTAACAATAAATTAATTATCTCTCCTTTCATCCCCTTGAAGGCTTCAGCTCTGCCACACGCTTGGAAAATCAGTGTCCATGGGATTTAATTCCAGAGGCAGGGATGCAGCCCAAGGAGAAAGGCCAGAGGGACAGATTAGTGTCCACATGTGTGAGCTTGCAGTGGCCATTCCTGGGATAAAGAATTCATCCAAGGAGAGCTCAGCCACCCTCCATCCCCTCAAAACGAGGACAGGATCATTCCCAGGGCTTCCCTGCAGAGCTGGGTAACACTGACCTTCCTTGGCTTTAGTAAAACCTCTTACTTCCCCAATTTCCACTTCAGTTTTTTCAATTCTTCCTCTTCTACTTCTTCTTTTACTTCTTCTTTTTTTTTTTTTT